TTGTGGTATGATTGATCATCCTTTGGGTAAATGCCCAAGAGTGGTATAGCTGGGTCTTGTGATAGATTAAGGCCCAGTTTTCTGAGAAACTGCCACACTGACTTCCAAAGTAGTTGTACAAGTTTGCACTCCCACCAGCAATGGAGGAGTGTTCCCCTTGTTCCACATCCTCTCCAGCATGAGCTGTCTTTGTGTTTGATCTTAGCCATTCTGACAGGTTTAAGATAAAATCTCAGAATAATTTGCATTTCCCTAATAGCTAAGGATGTTGAACATCTCTTTAAGTGATTTTCGGCCATTTGAGATTTTTCTGTTGAAAATTCTCTATTTATCTCTACCCTATTTTTAAATTGGATTATTTGGCTTGTTGATATCAGCCCTTTGTTGGATAGGATGTGGGGTTTGTGAAGTCTTCTCCCATTCTGTAGGCAGCCGTTTTGTCCTACTGATAGTGTCTTTTGCCTTACAGAAACCTTTTAGTTTATTAAGTGTTGAACTTAGTGCCTTTGCTATTGGTGTCCTGTTCAGGAAGTTGTCTCCTGTGCCAATGCCCTCAAGGCTATTCTCCCCTTTCTCTTCTGTCAGGTTCAGTGTATCTGGGTTTATGTTGAGGTCTTTGATCCACTTGAACTTGAGTATTGTGCAGGGTGATAGATATGGATCTATTTGTACTTACACATGCTGACATCCAGTTATGCCAGCATCATTTGCTGAAGATGCTTTCTTCTTCCGTTATGTAATTTTGGTTTATTTGTCAAAAACCTGGTGTCCATAGGTGTTCAGATTTATGTCTGGGTCTTCAATTTGATTCCATTAATCCACCTGTTTTTATGCCAAACCATGCAGTTTTTATTACTATAGTTCTGTAGTAGAGCTTAAAGTCAGGGATGGTCATACCTCTGGAAATTCTGGAAATTCTTTTATTGTACAGGATTGTTTTAGCTATCCTGGATTATTTTGGTTTTCCATATGAAGTTGAGTAGTCTCTCAAGATCTGTAAAAGAATTGTGTTGGGATTTTAATGAGGATTGCATTGAATATGTAGATTGCATTGAGTATGTAGATTGCTTTTGGTAAGATGGCCATTATTATTATGTTAATCCTACCAATCCATGAACATGGAGAGCTTTCCATTTTCTGGTATCTACAGCAATTTCTTTCTTCAAAGACTTGAAGTTTTTGTCATACAGGTCTTTCACTTGCTTGGTTAGAGTTACACTAAGATATTTTATATTATTTGAAGGGTGTTGTTTCCCTGATTCTTTCTCAGCCCATTTATCATTTGTATAATGGAGGGATACTGATTTGGGGGTGGGGGTATTTTTGTATCTAGCCACTTGACTAAAGGTGTTTATTAGCTGTCAGAGTTTTTGGGGTCACTTATGTATACTATCATATCATCTGTGAATAATGATACTTTGACTTTGTCCTTTCCAATTTGTATTCCCTTGGTTTCCTTATTGCTGTAGCTAAAACTTCAAGTTCTATATTGAACAGGTATGGAGAGAGTGGACAACCTTGTCTCATTCCTGATTTTTGTGGAATTGCTTTGAGTTTCTCTCCATCTAGTTGATGTTGGCAATCAGCTTGCTGTCTTTTGCTTTTATTATATTTAGGTATGTTCCTTGTATCCTACTCTTGTCTTCTTTTGCTCAAGATGGCAGCCACATGCAGCTCCAACCCCATCATTTCATTGCCTTAGGATCCCCCAACTCTATAGGGGCTCCTGCTTTGCTGACCAGACTCATGTTAACCATGGAACAAAAGGGGCTGTGACAGATGAGCAAATTAATTCACCAAATGCAATCAGAAATGCAAGAAATAATGAATGAAATAACATGATTGTATTATTGAAGTCATCTACAGATTTGATGCAGTTAAGCCCCATCAAACCCCTATGACATTATTCCCACAACTAGGACCAAAGTAATCTTAAAGGAAAAGGGGACAGTACTAAGGGACAACAAAGTACCTCACTTCAAATTATAATACAAGGCCAAAGTAACAAAACCACCATGATAGTGGTGTGAAAATAAAACCTGTGGACCAATGAACCAGAACAGAGGACCCAGAAATAAACTGACGGTAACATAGCTAGCAGTAGTCATCTGATCCACATGGGGGCCAAAACACACACTGAAGAAAAATGCTCTTTAACAAGTTATTAGGAAAATTGAATATCCACATGTAAAAGACTCAAACTTGATTTTTACTTCTTACCCTGTACAAAACTCAAAATGGATCAAAGACCTAGTTGAAGTTTGATACCACTACAGGAAAACACAGAGGGAAACATTGAAGGATAGATGCACAGGCAAGGACTTTTTGAAAAGGACTGTAATAGTCTAATGTTTCAGTTAAGATTTCTATTTCTATGATGAGACACCATGACCGGAAGCAGCTTGGGGAGGAAAAGGTTTATTTCATCTCAGAACTTGTAGTTCATCATCCAGGGAACTCAGGACAAGAATCTGAAGGCAGAAACTGGAGCAGAAGCCATGGAGGAGTCCTGCTTACCGGCTTGCTTCCCCTCACCCCCACCGTAGCTTGCTCAGCCTGTTCACCCAGAACCAAGTGCCAATGCCTATCACTGCCTGCAATGAGCTAGGACCTTCCACATCAACCATCAGTGAAGACAATGTCTCTACAGGCTTGCCCACAGGCCAGTTTTGTGGGGATATTTTCTCAATTGAGGTACCCTGTTCCCAAATGACTCTAGATTGTGTCAAGTTAATATAAAACTAACCAGCACATCCAAGAAGTGATAGAAAACTGCTGTTGCATTGCATGAAATCAGGAGGCAGAATAGGAAAGGGATCAATTTTCAACATAAAGAGACAGCCTACAGAGTGGAAGGAAGTCTTCACCAGCTAGTCACCAAAGAGTAAAATCCAAAATATTAGAAGAATTCAAAAAGTTAAACATCAGGAACAAATACTTTTAAAATAATTATAACAGTACAAGTGACCAATAAATCTGTGGGAAAAAATGTACAGTGTCTTTAGACATTAAGGAACGGCAAATTACCCTAGTCAGGATGAGTACCATCAAGAAAACAAGCACTTTTTTGTGGTGCCTCCTAGGATTGGCTGTGACAAGATGAAGCTGAATAGCTCCTTTCCAGCCACTGGCTGTCAGAAACCCATTAAAATGATGATGAATGCAAACCTCATACTTTCTATGAGAAACACATGGCCACAGAAGTAGGTGCTTGAGATCCTGGGTGAAGAGTGGAAAGGTCATGAGGTCAGAATCAGTGGCAGGAATAACAAACAAGATTTTCCCATGAAGCAAGGCATCTTGACCCAGAGCACAGTGTGCCTGATGTTGAGTAAGAAGTATCCTTGCTACAGACCAAGGAGAACTAGAGAGGAAGCACAAGTCTGTTCATAGATGCCAATCTGAGTGTTCTCAATGTGGTTATTGAAAGGGGGGGGGAGCATAGGGGAAAGAAGGATATTCCTGAACTGACAGATGCTATTTGGGCTCAGCAGTCTCAAAAGAACTAGCAGAATCTAAAAGCATTTCTAACCTCTCTAAAGAAGGTGATGTCCAACAACATGCTGTGAGAAAGCTCTTAAGAAAGAAGTTAAGAATCCCAAGACCAAAGCACCAAAGAATCAGTGTCTTTGTTACTCCACATGTCCTGTAACACAAACATACTGCTCTGAAGAAACAGTGCACTACGAAAACTGAGGAGGAGGCTGTGGGGCACGCTAAACTTTTAGCCAAGAGAATGAAAGAAGCCAAAGAACACCTGGAACAGACTGCCAAGAGACATAGGCTGTCCTCACTTCGAGTTTCTACTCTTGAGTCTGAGTCCAGTCAAAAATAAGTCTTTAAAATAAGAAACGATTGGGCCTTGAAAAATAAAAGAAAACAAGGAACGTGTCTCAATACTTGCCTTGCAATAGTGAAGACTGAGTCCCTCTTTGGCACCCATGGGGAAAAAGGCAAGTGTGGAGATGTGTCTACAATCTCAGGGATGCACAGGCAGATACAGGGATCCCTGCTGCTTGCTGGTCATGTAATCTAGCCAAATTGGTGAGTTTCAAATCCATTGAGAGAGCCTGTCTCAAAGAATAAGGTGAGGAGTGATTGAGGAAGATGCCCAACATCAGTACATGTGTATCTGTGTACACACGTGCACATGCTGTTTTCGAGACAAATGCTAGCAAGGAGAGCAGGTGGAGTGCCCCTTACATATTGTTATATGGTGGAGATTATTCTGAGTTGCAGTAATATTTATTTCTTTTAAAATACTTTATTAATTCTTTGAGACTCGCATACAATGTATTTTGATCATACTTACCACACACTCCTTCCTCTAAGTCCTCTCAGATCCAAAGCTTCTCAATTAGGTCAAATACTGCAGAAATTAGTATGGAGATTCTAATCTAACAACAAAAAGATCTAGAACTACTGTGTGATCGAGCTATATCACTCTTCAGTACCTATCACCAGGAATTAAAGGCAGAATACAACAAAGGTGCCTACAAACTCATGTTTATTTTGTTACAACTCAAAATAGCCAAGTCACAGAATCAGCTTAACCACCCACCAGTGGAGAGATAAAGAGTGTGTGTTTGTGTGTGTGTGTGTGTATTTTGAGTATTATGCAGCCACTAAAAAATGAAATTGTGTTGCTTATATAGAAATGGGCAGAAATCATCATGCTAAGCAAAATAAACCAGACTTAGAAAGACAAATGTCATGATGAAACCCATTATTTTGTGCTGTTAATACATGTCAATAAAATTTTATAAAAAAATATCTTAAAGCCTACAACTTGAAAGATAATACAAATCACATCCCTTTTGTTACATGGGAAGATTTTGAACTTCCTACTTTTTACCTTGGTAAAACAATTCAAATAAACTGTAATTACTACAAAATATTTTTGCATATCTTTGAACATGTAAGTTTCTGCATTTTAAGTAATGTCACATTTGAGGGAGGAAACTGCTCATAAAGAACTTCACTCTCCCTAGAAAGGCCTCTGCAAAGTTAATTAATCACAGCTTCTATTGTAACTCATGGAGACCAACCATATACAAGCCACCCTCTTAACACTGCTTTAGAAATGCCAGAAGTCAGTTTCCCACAACCAGGTAACATGTCCCTAGCAAACAATCTTACTTGATTATCAGAGTCTAAATGCTTTCTATTCGTGAAGAAAATGTCACTCCTTATACTACAGAGTGACTACAATGTTTCTCTTTTTCACAACTGTTTTCCTGTCAATCTCATTATTTTATCTTGATATATGCACATATGCTAACTCTCACTGTGTGTAGGGGGGGCAGGCAGGGCATACATGCTCTGTATCAATGATTTTTCTTTTCATTATTTTGATTTTGACATATTTTAAGACTATTTCATCTTAGCCTGGTGTGGTAGTGCCTGCCTTTAATACCAGCACTTGAGACGCAGATGCAGGAAGATTTCCTGTGAGTTTGAGGCCAGCCTGGTCTGTAGAGAGACCCTGGCACCAAAATTTAAAAAAAAACAAAAAAACATTTTGACCACAACTGGGATCTGACAGTTGTATTTTATCCTCTCTTAATCCAGAAAATGTCCCAAATTTAAATTTGGGAAACTTTAATTTGCTCGGTTTATAGACTGTGCTAGTGTCTGGTTGTTAAGGCCCCCTCTACCTTTCATAATATATATAACTTATATTTCCTTACATCTTCCACAGTGAACTACTGATGCTTTATAAAGACAAACTCTTGTCTTACTAGTTGCACGCATGGTCCGAAGCACACAGCATGTTTCCTGACTTCTGATACAGAACCTTGTTTCCCTTGTTCCTTTGCTCAGGACTTTCTGATTCAGTCCTCCAACAGCTTGAGGGATCTTTTTGTTGTTAATGTTTTGGTAGTTTACTGCCATAAAACCTTTACTTGAGATGTTCAACTTCTTTTCAAAGATGACTATCAGTATATGTCCATGGTAACCTTTGTATCCGTATGGCATCAACATGCAGAACACCAATAGAAAGCAATAAACTCCTGGACTGTAAGTTTGAAAATAGCTTCTTGTTGCCAGGAAGATACCAAGGTGGTGACCTTGGCTCCTGGAACTTGTTTACTAGTCTTGCCTTTATCCTCAAAATGGAGATGTTAAAACAATCATTCTCAGAGATGATGTCAAGATAAAATAATGAGGTCATTGATACAGAGCATGTATGCCCTGCCAGCCCCCCCCCACACACACAGTGAGAGTTAGCATATGTGCATATGTCAAGATAAAATAATGAGATTATTGATATAGAGCATGTATGCCCTGCCAGCCCCCACACACGGTGAGATTAGCATCAATTCATTAACGGGTCAAGTGAAATCACTAAAAGGAAAGTTATTAAAAATTCTTAAAGCATAATATAGTTCTACCTACCTGATATTTCTGTTATTCCTACTGTTTGGATTGTGGCTGTACTTTTGAACATGGCATCAGTGAGCTACTTATGACTCAACCATTGCATCATCTTAGACAAACATCAGCTGGGTGTGTGCCAGAATACAGTGTGATAAAATATATTTTACCCTCTTCTCCATTTTGTTTACTATGAACCTCTACTGAAGTTAAGCCCATAGCACTAACATTTCAGTTGACTTTAAACATTGAGGACATTTGCACATATTTATTCATTGTAAATTATATAAGTCTATATTCTACAGTAACTTGTTTGAAATAGTTTTTGTCTTTCCTAACAATTCTACTTTTTGAATACTACTTAAGAATATTTAATAACAAGTTAATATTGAATAATGTCATTGTAATTGCAACTCTGGTTATAAATATACAGTACAGGATACATATTCTGTTAGAACAGTTTGCAATTGAAGACTTACCTTTTTGTATTTGAAAGAGATGAGACTTGGGGTGTTTATGATCCTTGTATACAGATGTCTCTTAAAAGACTAGTGGTGAATAGTTATTTTTATATTATTATTGGCATGCATGTTTTTAAAAGTAGTCAAAGGAAAACGTCATAAGTCAAAGAACACTTCTAATTATTGAGTTGACAGATTCAGCTAAGTCTTATGTAAAGGGAAGTTGAAATTAACTTAGTCTGCTTCCTTTAACACTGCATTATCATCCCCTTGCTCCTCTTCATTTGGAGCTGTAACGTGCTTAATACATACCAAGCTTCTGCCTTCAGCAAGGAGTAGAACGAGAACTTCCAATGTTAGGGTCCCCACCTTTAACTGTGGAGAATCTTGTCTTTGTCCACTGTTGCCATTTGTATCTTCATAGAGAAAGCCCTTGAATTTTCCTGCCTACACAGGGCTGGGGATGGGTGAGGTAACAAAAGGAGAGCTTCCAGGTTTGCAACAGAGATCAAACAGAAAGAAAAATCCCTCTAGGAGAAAATAGAAAGCATTCAGGGAAAAGGAAACTTCCCTCAAACTATCATTTTTATGTTCAGACATAAGAATAGTATTCATCAAATAACAGTGTGGTGCTTTTTAAAGAAACCTGCTGAGACTGCAACTGAGACCTTGGAGACTAAGACAGTGACAGATGAAAAGTCAATAGAACAAGAGAAACAGAAAAATAAGATGACCCAGAAATAAAAGACATAGAAAATGGGAAAGAATATAGGAAAGTAAGACCAGGCTAGGAACTCAAGAAAAAAAATACAAAAAATGACTAAGACGTAAAAGGAAGGAAGTCATCAAAACTAGGATAGAGGAGATAATGTAGAGATCTCCCACTTATTTATTTGGAATTGTAAAAGTTCAGTGGATTCCAGCATGGTGGTAAGAAATCTCAGTACTTGGGAGGCAGGCAAATCTCTCAAGAGTTCCAGGCCAACTAGGGCAACACAGTGAAGCCTAGTCTCAGATCAATAAACACCCCCAAACAAAACAAAAAACTACTACTAATAAAATTCTGTGACTCAAACATTTATATATAAGAATAGTTATGAAGCTTGCAGTCTTGTAATTCCTAGTCAGGGTAAGAAACAAAAACAAGAAATCCTAGCAATACCCTGGAGGGTTCAAGAGGGACTCTACAAGATTATCATCATGGAAATAACTGTTGTTTGTTTTTTACTCTTTTGACTCTTTACTCCTTTTTTGTGGGCCTGTCACCCAGCTCCCAAATAAATCACACATGGAGGCTTATTCTTTCTTATGAATGCCTGGCCTTAGCTTGGCTTGTTTCTTGCCAGCTTTTCTTAGCTTAAATTATCCCATCTACCTTTTGCCTCTGGGCTTCTACTTTTTCTTACTTACTTTCACTCTTACAATGTAGCTGGCTGTGTGGCTAGGTGGATGGCCCCTAGTGTCCTCTCCTTGTTCTCTTTCTCCTTGATCTCTTTTTTGCTTCTTTCTTTTTCCTCCTATTTATTCTCTCTGTCTGCCAGCCCCGCCTATCCTTTCTCCTGCCTTGCTATTGGCCAGTCAGCTCTTTATTAGACGGATCAGGTGTTTTAGACAGGCACAGTAACACAGCTTCACAAAGTTAAACAAATGCAACATAAAAGAATACAACACATCTTTGCATCATTAAACAAATGTTTCACAGGTTAAACAAATGTAACACATCTTAAAATAATATTCTACAACAAATCACCACCACCCTAACAAATAGGATACTTATTTTTCTTGCTTTTTAGCTACTGTATATGTTATACTTAAACCTTTGTTTGGAGATTTCCTATCAATAGAAGAGTTGTGTGTGAATTCTTAGGAATACAATGTCATTTTGTATTGTTTCTTTGTCTCAACACTGAAGATTGTTGTGGTTTGTTCATATGAGAGAACTATATCCTTAGAGGCAGGACATCTATTCCATAGTTGTGAGCATTTGATTAGTTTCCAGTTTGAATTTACAGTGAAAAATGCAACTACCAACATCTTTACATGGTTTGTTGTATACAATTTTTTTTGTGGCTACTCGTCCATTGTTGGAGTTGCTGGATCACCAGACTTGACAAGATAATGCCAAACTGTCTTCCAAACTAATTGTACCCCTAAACTTCATTCCCTCTTATTGTCAAATGTCTCATTTCTCCCAGGGTGCTAGGTATGTAATGGACTTTCAGTGTGGCTTAAATTTGAAACTTCAGAATTACTAATGAAGCTGAATGACTTTTCACTTGTTTACTAGCTATTTAGAGTTTCTGGTTTCTTAAGTATATGTGTGTTATGCTGTTTATTTGGGGTAGGGGAAAGAGTGTCCATTTTTCAAGTGAGTTTCCAGTTCTTTAATTTGAAACTCCGATTTGACTAAGCCTAAAATTTCTGTGTGTTTGGAGTGCTTTCTTTTTCTTAGACATAGTTTAATTCATTGTCTGCTCACAAGTACTTTTAAGGATAAATAGATGTATTTTATTCAACATTCTGATTTTCGCGTAAGAGTTGGACACCTGTAACCTAGCCTACTATTTCTATAAAAAAGAAACCTACAAATGTTCTAACCAAACTCTTGATCAGTCTTTTGACTTTGATAGTTAGGTTTCTCTGACAGATGAATGGAGGTGTCTTTATTTTCTAAATGTTCTTACTATTATCTAATCCAGCTTAATTTAGTAGATTTTTTTTTCATTATTTCTCAATGTACGTTTCTAAATGGATTTGAAACAATATTCTTGGCATAGATTGTGGATTGAATATAAAGAAATAAGAAAAATATTTTAGGCTTTCTGAATGAAGATGGTAGTTATATAGAGTTCATTCCATTTTTTTCTTCCTACCTGGCTGAAAAAAAATGCAATTGCTTTGGCATGTATCATTCTAATGGTATATGATACTATTTCTTGTTGCTAGCAAGAAGAAAATTAAATCATCTACTATTCCGAATGTGATCCTGTAACCCATAAATACAGTTACCCAGCAGATTTCAACTTTCCACCGCAGTGGCAAGATGTGAGCCCATTGTTTCCTCTCCTGTTGAATTCCCCTAAGTTACCATTCCTCATTATTTTTGGCTTTAGAGTTGTGTCCATTTCAGTAATTACAGAAACTTTTCCTTGCATTGGTCACATTCTTGAGCACTCTGAGGAAAACCAACACTCAAATAAGGATGGTCCTCAGGGAATATTCCTACCCTCTTCCCTGTTCATAGAAGACGAGTGGACAGATTCCTTCCTAATGTTTATCAGGAACCTTCCCTAACCACTCCATTGTAATTTTAAAATACTTTCTTTTCATTACTCTCTGTACTCTTAATTTTAAAGGTTCAAATGTTATGATACACTGTGATTCTATAGCCAACATTAGCCTCAAATCAGGGCAGTCCCCCGTCTCAGCCTCTCAAGTACTGGCGTTACAGTTATATGCCACCAAGTGTAGTTTAGTCTTTGATTCTTACAGAAAGTCTTGGGAAAGTTCAAAACACACAAGGCAATAAATACTCAGACTGAATAATAGTCTCGGTACAGCCAAACTCCTGCAGTAATGTCCATCCAACAGTTTACAGTGCACCTGGTAATGCTTTTCATGTTATAGACGGTGGTTGTCAGTTTCCAATATTAAAGATATTAGAGAATCACTTACCAACAGTAAAATGTTTGGTGTGCAGTTGTCAAAGATGTAAGTGCTAAATCAATGACCTGTCCTCCAGTTGTGTGATCCAGGTTTTAGCAAGTGGTTTTGTATTCTGTTTTAAACCTTGAATAAAATTTTTGGAACAGTCATTGTCTTTTGGTTCCTTCTCACCTCTCCCCTCCCCTGCCAAGACAACTTCTGCAATGTTTTTTTACTTTATTATGGCCTACTGCAGGACTTTATACATTCACTCATTTCAATGTGGAAACAGTTTATGTACAACTGCAAAGCAACGGCTACACAGATAGCTCAACCTGCCCCAGACCAGAAGGGCTGCAATACCAAAGTTCGCTGAGTTATTTGATAAATCCGAGAATGTTTTCTCTGTAGAAAATAGTAAACATGGTAACATTGCCCAGTAAGCTCATTCCACATATATTGTTTTAAATTCAGGAACTCAGAAGAAACCGTACCTTCATTTCTTCAAAGAGCCATGTTTTACTGAAGTCGTGGAGATGAATTCCTAATACCCTTCCTCCTTACTGTTTCATTAATGGCAGCTATTTTTCTATGAGCTATCCATAGTCCACAAGGGGTTTTAAACATTTCTTCTCAAAGTGCAACCAGCATGCCATTTCATCTGCTTGCTATAACACGAATCTCTAAATAGTGAAATGTTCATTGCTATTAAAGTATATTACTTGTAATTTCAAATTGTGACTTTAAGTGATTTTTTTTAAGCTGCAGTTTTAAACACTGCTTTGGCTGTTTTTAAATAGTGAACTGTACTTTCGGAATGTCTCAGGTTTGGGTATTGACAAAACTGTCCTATCAACAGTGTAGTGTTCAGTAGCTTTGTTTCCTGTGCACAGAACCAACCACTCACATAAGAAGGCATTCTGATGACACTTTTCAGGACAGGATTTAGTTAAAAAAGGATTTTTTAGCCGGGCTGTGATGGCGCACACCTTTAATCCCAGCACTTGGGAGGCAGAGGCAGGCAGATCTTTGTGAGTTCGAGGCCAGCCTGGTCTACAGAGCGAGATCCAGGAAAGGCGCAAAGCTACACAGAGAAACCCTGTCTCGAAAAATCAAAAAAAAAAAAAGGATTTTTAATACATCTATGAAGATATAAACTTTGAGCTTTAAGTTTGTTTCAGACAATATAGTATTTCATTTGCTTCCCCCACCCCTTGATTTGTCGAAACAGGGTTTCTCTGTGTAGTTTTGGTACCTTTCCTGAAACTCACTCTGTAGCCCAGGCTGGCCTCAAACTCACAGAGATCCGCCTGCCTCTGCCTCCCAAGTGTTGGGATTAAAGGTGTGTGCCACCACTGCCCAGCTTTCATTTGCTTTTGAAAAAGAATTAATTTGTATATGGGTGTTTTGACTGCATGTATGTATATGTACCATGTGCATACCTAGTGCCCATGGAGGTCATGAGAGGGTCAGAACCCCTGGAACCAGAGTTACCGATGATTGTGAGCCACCATGTAGGTGCAAGGAACTGAACCTGGGTCCTCTGGAAAAGCACCTAGTAGTCTTAATCCTTGAGCCAACCTTCCAGCGCCTGGGTTTACTCTTAAGTATTCAGGATAGTTTTGGGGGGGATAGTGAAAAGCCAGCAGAATTGCTGTTCTTTGGTTATAAATGCTTACCACTTTCAAAGCTGCAGACAGCACATTCCCAAAGCATCATCTGTGCCCATGGAGCTTTACATTCAGAAAAACGCTCCAACAAAAATCACACCTATTTTTAAATTTTTATCTAGTCCCATGTTGTTTCTAATGTTAGTGAATTCAGATTTAGAAGAAACACAAGTTACTGTCATAGGAATACTCTAATTTGAACAATAGTAATCTAAACTTTTTTGGACTCAAAACAAAAAATTTGTTTTTGATTGCACAATTTATAGAAGTAAAACTACATGATAGCTTATATTGCATATCTTCTGAATTATTGAGAATATATATGTGGGTGAGTATATAAATCAGAATATGTATAAACATGCAACATGTGCATGCTGCACTATTTTCCTCTATATAATTTGACATTCACATAACTTACCAAGAGGACTTTAGTACAGTTTTGTAGAATAGGAGACCTCCATCCTGCAGTTATTACCATTACTCTACCATAGTCACCTAAAAGTGGATACAATATTCTATGTTACTCTGCTGTAGTTAGCCAAACATTTGTTTTTGATATGTGCTAAAAGTGAAACGGCCGTCAACCTCAAATCTTGAGTTCAGATTCAGATATTCCCTCCTACTGGTGTATTACATGGAGAGTGCCCTGGGACTGGTGTTCTTTAAAAACATCCCTGTGTCTTAGTTTCCACACTTTTACATGTCAACAGTGACATTGTCTCTGGGGTTGCTTACTGGGATCACAGAGTCTGTGTATCAAGTATCTAGCAGAAAACTTCTAAATAAATGGTACCCATTACCTTACAGATGAGTCGGATATATAAATTCTGGTACTTTAATGACCTTTAAACTGAAGCATCAGAATTTTTGGTTTTGTCAGTCTGTTCAACATCAGTTAACAAATTAACATACCGCTAATGCTTTTCTGATAGTAGGTGTGTTTTCCACTCACAGATCTGGCAGTGTGATTAGCCATTCCCCTCCAGCTCAGGCTGTGTAACACTGACTTCATTTTACTTCAATTAACTATTTAGTATTTCTGCTCTAGCTTAGAAATGACTTCCCTGTAACTGCTCATATCCAACTTAATACCTTAGCAGAGTAGTTTATTTTATTTAAAGATGTATTCTGAAAAACTCCAGGGCCCAATACGTGAGTCCAGTGTACAGTGTACTTGAGAGCTTCTCTGAGAGCAAGGATGGTACTGAGTGCATAAGACATGTCTCTGATCGTTGATACTGCTCACCATGGCTACAGTAATTCAACACAATAAGGATCTAAGGAAAATGTAAACACCCTACATGTTTGTGGACCTGTAAGTTACAAGTGTACTTTTATAAATAATTTGTACTTTATTCACAGACAGGAGAGGATGCATTAGAACTGAATTTTTATGTTTACCTCAGTAGTATCTTCTTGGTGCCCACATCATTTTAAAAAAGTTACTAACTTTAAAGGCTACTATCTTCCGAATCCTTACTAAGCAACTATCAGGCATAGCTGGATTCAAATCCAGGTGGTATTTTATGATTCAACTCAGTGAACAAAGCTTAATTTCTTTATTCTCAGTCTGTAAATTAAATTTAGTACTGTGTATGTAAGTTCCTAGTTAGGAATGTAATATGGAATTAAAATCTGTAATTTGCAATATGGTTATTGCTGTGACTGCAGAATTGGGTTGAGGTTTGACTGAAAATCCTTTCAGCCTTTAAGTAGCTTTTTCATCCATTCAAGAGACTACCTGTGTATTTCTTGAACTACTAGTGGGAATTCTAATAAATGTGTCTCTCCCTAGTTATCAGATATGCATATTATTATCACAGTCACTACTGTGAATATTGAGGGACTAAGGGGAGGGTCAAAAGAGACTCATTTGTTAGTAGATTGGCATCTCAGAAATGAGCACCTCACACTAACGTGAGAATTAAGCTTTAGCCTTTGGTGGGATAGAATGAATGTGGTCTTAAATGAAGTTGAAGCTTGTTCTGAGGGATTCTTTCCTTCTTTTGTGCTAAATATAGATATATTATTCCATTCCTTTTGTTAGAAATACCTCTGGAAATTTTAGGAGCTAACTGGATAGGCATTCGTTTGGAGAATATTTGAAAATTTAACACAGTTATAAAACAACTCTTTGCCTTAAAAAAATCAAATTAGGATTAGAAGTGAACACAGGGAAATTCCTGCTTTTACTCTGTGTTACTGAGACATGAAGTAGAAGGCATTGCTCCTCAATCTCAAGATCACAGTTCCGTCACCTTATCATAGTGGAAGTAGAAGACTGGTTCACAACGTTAATTTAGTGTAGGAAAGACCATACAAGTGTGTAGGGGAGCAGGAAGACATGATTGGACTTTCCTAATTAATTCAATGTATCTAAATCTGTAATGTTGACAACAGTGTCCACATCATAAGATTATGTATGCTGTTCTACTCAGTCCTTTTCATAAAGAATGCTGTGCAGTACTTAGCTGCAGGGTTACACCTTTATTGGGCATAATTATATAAACACCTACACTTCAAATTCTTCCCCAGGTAAGACAGGGTATTTTATTTAGCATATTTATACTTCACATATTTATTAGAACCAGGTAGAAGAGGCTCATTGTATGAAGAGGCTCAAGGCATGGGTTCTGTATCTCTTCAAAGGAATTACTAGTAGGAAGAGCATACACATACACATCACAAAGTACCAAGGCCACCTCTGTAAAATCTTTATGGCAATGTTTGAGTCCCAAAATCTTGTGATTCAGAAATGCCACACTACATGCTTCAGGATAGGGGAACAGGTCTCAGCAAAGACTCCCAGGAAAAAGTTGGTATGCACGAGGCACTTTGTAAATATTTATACAACACAGGTTCTCTGAAATGACACACCAAATGGTTTGTGTTTGTAGAAAGACATACGATTGGAAAAAAGAAAGAGGCCAGACTGTGAGCCATATTGTGCTTGTACTGTACACATTGGAAAAGCCCCTAGACTTTTAATTAGGACAGGAATGGATGTTTTGGCAGCACAGAGATTGGTTGGAATGGAAAGAGATGAGGCTAAGAATAGGACAACTTAGGACAAATCACTGCAGAGGTGAAAGCATATATTTAAGGTGACCATAGAGAGGACAGGAAAGAGAAACTGGCATAGTATATAAGAATAAAAAATAGAGCCTAGGCTATGAGACTGTGTCCAAGACAACAATGACAAAATTATAGGTAAGATATGAGAAATGGCTAAAATTGGCAAAAATCTCTTTATTTCTGTGTGGGCTACTAAGCATAGTAAGTGAATCAGATCTCTAAGAATCAGACAAGAAAGCTGAATGTGATGGTATACACCTATATTCTCATCTCTCAGGAGGAAGCTGGGGCAGGATTGCAAGTTCATAGGCAGCCTTGGCTACTAAGTGTTAGTTGCAAGATTATAATATTGGTATGATTTCAGACATGTACACTGTTGGCTGTTTGAAATTATTTTACAGATTAAAAAGGGTGAAACCAAGTTCCCACCCTATTTCAAGTAGAAATACAAACACTTCAAAGATGTGAGGGTATTATGTTTGAAGTCAGTAATAATTTATCATTGTCTCCATCATATTCTTGCCTTCTCTGAAGATGTCATGCTCAAAATTCTGTATGAAGCCATTTACAGTTCAGGTCCTAGTAAACCATTTATTATTCTGTGTGTTCCGAATAGGAAAGAAACATCAAAGAGAAAGAAAAGAAAATCTTCATTCTAGAAATACCCATGTAATGAAAAGTGTCCTTACCAATCTTCTTCCTTACCAAAACTGTCCTTAACCAATCTTCATCTTGACGTACTATTTAAAACATCTTTGCTCCTCCCTAAAACTCAAGTTTCGTAATGCAAATTAAGCTAACAGAACTGAGAACATAGCCTGAGAAAGGGGGGGTGTGGAGTTTACAAAGTTTGTAATATTTTCTCCTCTATGAATGGTGACACAGTTGTTAATAGCTAAATTACTTAGCATAATGGCTAAGGACTCGGGATGGACTGTTCATGAGGAAAAAAGTACATTGTTTTTCTATGAAGTAGAGTTTGGGTGACCATTTATTCTCAAATAAATATACAGGATCCCAAAAGTCATTTACAGATCAAAGTGTATCCCTTACTACTCAAAACCACTTGGAAAATGTGTCCTGCATAATTGGTGTGTATTAGCTAAAGACTTTGATTTTTATGGTCAAGCAGATTAAACCCAGAGAACTGCCATGACAAGCCCTTGGTGTGTCCAAAGTCAGAGAGGAACTCTCCACTTTTGCCCCTCCTCACTGAAAATCCTTGGGGCTATTACTGTCCATAGGTTGGTTACTGTAGCTTCTGACATGCATAAATGGGTGTAAATGATAAACAGTGTGGAGATAGGATCTTTATTTCATATTTTACATAAAAATGGACAACATCCAAACAGCTCATCTGATAAATGAACATAATATATCACAGATGATTTCATTCCACATTAACCTATAATTTCTTAGCTTAAACTGAAAGATTAGGGGAGAAAATTGGATCTCATCCCACCTTTAATCATGGATGCAAATCATTTGGTTTTCAGAATTCTCACCAAATAACTTTCTGATCCATGCAGCAAGTGAGAAATTAAGTATTTTCAAAAGAAACATGTTTTTTCCCTCCTACCTTATCAAAACCTTAGAGAAAGTTTCTTTATGTACACCTAAAGTTGAAACCTCTCTCCATAAACGCAAAGCAGAGAACAAATAACCAGTCTTTCTTGCCTTGCTAAAATAAGATAAAATGTGTCCTACTGAAACCATAGAACAGAAATGTGGTGAAAATCTCCCCTTAGAGTACTTTTACATTTGGTTGAAAGCTATTACATAGCATATTCTTAAACAAATCAGTAATCTTTGGGGTAAAGCAAAGATAAACAGAGACAGAAAACACAGTCACCTGGTGTATGCAGCTGAGTATTTACATTTGTCCTAGTGCAAAAAGATAAGAAAAGTGCAGGTGACTTGAATGTGTAAAATCTACCTTTTACTGCTGGCCCTAGAGGGAAAAATTAAATTACTGACCCAAGCTAATTCTATCATTGATAGCCAGGCCTGTGTATTCTCTGGCTTCAACTCCATTTTGAACCTTTCTTTGGATTTGTCTGGACTAAAAGACTACAGTGGCTACCTCAATAAAGCAATCATTCTTTAAAAAATTTTACTACTGTTTGAGAATTTCATATGACTACCGTGTTTATAATATTTCTCTCCTCCCTCCACTCCACCATGTCAGCCCTCTGCTCTCTCAAATTCATGGTCTGTTTTCCTTCAGTTATTGGTGCGTGGGTGAGTGCGGGCAGGTGTGTGTGTGTGTATAAAATATAACCTGAGTACATTACTGTTGCTCAGATGTATACTTTTTAGGGCTGACTACTTGGTGTTAGCTAATAAGAGGGCACATCACTGAGGAAGACTGATTGTCTCTAGGGGTAGGACCTTGTGAGATACCCTCCTTCCACATTGGC